ATGCACTTTACTTTAGTTTGGATACAAAAATTGCTTAAATATGAAAAATAGCAAGTAGAAATAAAAAGTTCGTTACCATATATTAGACTGTAAATTTAGATGTCATTTTATGATTTAATAAATCTGATTTTTGTTGACTCTCAAATATTAATCATACACTACAAATTCATTCAGAAACAATTTACCTGGTCTTATATCCAGTGATTTGCATAATTATCTAATTTGATTGCATATATTATGCATGTAGCAATACATGTTCATTACAATTCAATTTGTGATCAGACATTTTGTTTTAACAAATGCTGATTTAGAGTCTTATCTCTGACATGCCTCATATGCCACATATATGCATGTGCATTTCTTTTACAATCCAATTCTGCCATTGTGAAATTGTTAAGTAGTTCTTAAACAAAATTATTGGTGAGTTGTTATCTGGAAATGAAGACTTATACTATTTTAATAATCTAAAATTAAATACTCTTCTGAGATATAGATTTCACCTTGCAATAAAAAATACCCTGACCTTGAGTCAGCCGTTATAATCCAGAAAGGCTTGCATATACAGTGTGATGGATTTACTTGTATACATCTGCTAACCGCATAAATATGAATTCAAAAGTTAACAACACGTTGAATTTATTGCAAATGCCATATTGATAATATACATTTTTTATAATGATATGCTATTTGGTATGTTTATTTTCAATAATATACATAATTTTTTTGCAATTCTGCAGGACAGTTCATATGAAATATCTCTACCAAAACCAGAGTTTTTATCAGTGGGTGCAAGTGTTATAGGCGAAGCTGTTACACCTATGCCTTCAGAAGTTGTCAAAGTTAATGTTACAGATGGTGAAAGTGTTGTCAAAGGACAAATCCTGGTTGTTGTTATAGCAATGAAAATGGAAGTAAGTGTCTTAAATCTTATTGACATTCTTTAGAATTCATATTCTGATTTTTAGATCTATGTGTCTGTATTGTATATCTATCTGTCTCTATCTGCATGTCTGTCTGTCTCTATCTGCATGTCTGTCTGTCTGTCTCTATCTGCATGTCTGTCTGTCTCTATCTGCATGTCTGTTCGTCTCTATCTGCTTGCCTGTCTGTCTCTATCTGCTTGCCTGTCTGTCTCTATCTGCATGTCTGTCTCTCTCTATCTGCATGTCTGTCTGTCTCTCTCTATCTGCATGTCTCTCTGTCTCTCTCTATCTGCATGTCTCTCTGTCTCTATCTGCATGTCTGTCTGTCTCTATCTGCATGTCTGTCTGTCGCTATCTGCATGTCTGTCTTTCTCTATCTGCATGTCTCTCTGTCTCTATCTGCATGTCTCTCTGTCTCTATCTGCATGTCTCTCTGTCTCTATCTGCATGTCTGTCTGTCTCTATCTGCATGTCTCTCTGTCTCTATCTGCATGTCTGTCTGTCTCTATCTGCATG